CAAAACGAGACGGAGAATTAAGTAAAGATCCCTGCCATGTAATGAGAAATTCGTCGAAGGCGAACATGTTCGAGTCGCCATTTGGATATCTAACACTTCAATTCAATCGCTCAGTACCAAGCCTCTGCAAGTCCTTGGACGGTCTCAAATTTATAGTGGCAGCAAGCGTCTTTTTATTGATCCACTTAGAAAGAATCTCTTAAAGACAAGTAAGCTGAATTGACATTAACATCTCTATAGCGTTCTAAAACAATGTTCATTAGCTGAAGTGCTATAAGAAGCAGTCCAACGACTTATGACGAAATCAGATCGTTCTCTCAGCCTTTAATCCTCCCATTGTTTCTTCATATACGACATTTGTCAGAACGATTAATCAGTTTCATTAGATTATTTTGATAGACCAATTATTTTCCAATCCTATACTTCTACCAATGCGGAAGGTCCTTTTGGATGGGAAGTTTTGGAGGACTTTATAAGCATATCTTTGAATGTCGAGTAAAAATCACGATTACGCCTAGATCGTCAAACATTTGTCGTCAAAGCAAAGCAACGGTCGTTTTAACTTTTATGGGGTTGTTTCTTCTAGATCCAAGCACATTCACTTCGCCAAGCATGGGCTTTTCCGTTGAAGGCGCACAAATGTTGTTCAATTTCTCAAAACTAATGGTTCAAGTGTGCTATTCTTCAACGAAACGGGATGGAATTCTATTCGCATTCGATTTCAAGATGAATTAAGCTCAAGAGCTCTCCCCCGACAAATCATTATTGAAAAAGCTGGCTGCCGTTTGATCGTGCCTTCTTTTACTTCAGTACAGCTGTGGCTCGCTAATATCACTGAAATATTGGAAGCTTCCCTTTTAAATAACTTAGATTTCCGAGAAACACCAATCTACCACCTCCGATAAACTAAATTCTCGGTCTATGGAACAAAGAAAAAGGTTGATTTCGTATTGTCGTAGCTCTTCAAGCAAACAACCAACAACAACACGACCTATCAATAGTTGTGATAACATTTATGCGAGTAAACTTCTTTCAATGTAAATTAGCACTTCTGGAATATGGAAACGTCTGAGATTTCAAACAGGACGATACCCTTTGACACACGAGGTGCTGTGTTACAGAAATTAAAATACAGGCCACTGAAATACCTGAGAGTAAGTTCATATTAACGTATGAGCTCACCCGTTGCGCTCTTACCTTAAGCTAAACTCCACGAATGAGCAGGTAAATGGGAACATTTCTAGCGTCAGTTGCAGATCCAGCATATCGAGAACACAATCGGCAGTAAAAATGGTTTTGGTGATTTATTCGGATGGGACAAATTTCGGCCTTCAAGTAGTTGGCATGTGTCTTGTTGTGCGTCAAAAACGAAATGAATATGGTGCAATAAGGATTCAAAAAGTGTTTTAATCGATTGCTGCCATCATGCTCCCCTTGTTAAAGGCTTTATAGAAGTGATTGCAGTGTGGAAACAACGTCGTAAAATGAAAAACAAAGGATGTTGGTAGTAAGTGTAATTCGATGGAGTGGGTGGATATGGATGCAAGGGTATTGAAGATCTTGCCTGGACGGGCTGTTCTCGTGGAGCAGGGGAGTCATGGAAGCTCTTAAAACTTTCTCGAAGGGAACAAACACTTTCTTTTGACCTTCTACGTAATGACCCTTTTACTATGCTCTTCGCCATTTAGAACTTGAATCTGGGACTTTCGCACAGATCAGTGTCGGGATGTAATTGTAACCCATTCAAATATCTCAGACTCATCAAAACAAAACTCTTCTCTATTCCACTGCACATGTTCGATTTCTTAGAAGGTTCTCATACTCAGAAACAAATAATATTTCCGAGAAATTAACGCTAGGGATAATGCAGCAGGGACAAATTAGCTTGAGGCGATATTTAAAGTGAAAGATCCGCGAGTAATGCTTGAAAAAATTCCTTAGTTGGTTGCTCGGTCCGGAAATACAGTGAATAGTGTGCCCTTTCAGTAGGCAGGGCGAAAGCCAAACAACGAAGATTAGAATCTTAGTCTCGGAAGGGCCTCCAATCTGCACTTGAGCTTCCGAGTAACCGCGCTTTCAAACCTTTACCCAACCGTAATCCCTCCTATTTCACCATTCTAACCTTGAAACGCGACTCCAGGACTTCTATATGAGCATTGGCTGAAGCTTCAATAGGTTCCATTTCCTTCCTGTAGGTCCATGCCATGAAGAACTCTTACGCCACATCTACACAATGCACTTAATGATTGCATTGAACGCGTTTTGAAACGGTTCATCTGTCATCACTTTTTGGAAAGATCTCGTAGACAGCTGAATTGGGCCTTCAAATCCCCTGGACGTTCCACACCGATGGACATTTGGAACCTTTTTGCAGCGCGGTTTTGCAGCGGCGCAGGCAGTCTGCCGACATCTATCCGCATTGGTCTTGTGAGCGTTTTGAGTGATTTTACGTTGATGAGCCTGTTTACGAGAAACCGAGTCGAAACCGGAGTACTGTATCGCCTAAGGGACTACGATGTCTCCGGGACATTCGCGTGAGAAAGTGATTGCCGGGAATGGAGGCATCGACCACTTTTTCCGCCATCATTACCGGAATATCGCGCAATGAATTCGAGTGCCTTTATAAGCGTCTGACGTTCTCTTCCTGACGATCGGGGCGTCGCAAGCAGTCTCTTCCGCGTTCACACACCATCCACGCGTTCACATTCTTTAAGATACATTTTCAAACCATGAGTCATTCTCGTTAATCATTGGCACTCATTTTCTTCTGATTCTCTTTTATTTCCTGAGCTCCGCACCATGTTATCCAATGAAGCCCTTGAGGGTGGTTTTTGCAGGGTACCTATGAGAGAAAGCCATTGGAAATATTGTACACTCCAAAAGATAGCCTATGGAAGGCCCCTGCCAGGGCAAAGGCACAATTGGGTGAAGCATAGATTTTCAACCGTCGTTACTCCTTTACACGGTACAGTAGACCTGGGTGCTGCCGTATGATTCTCCCTTCGTAGTAGCGACGAGGGCCTAAATTTGTTGATAAGAACCTTCATCAAATTGCTAGGAAATGGAGATCAGGGGAAGGTTGGAATGAATCAAAGAAGTCTTAGTAGTTTTCTCTAGATTCCTAACGAGATTACACTCACTGTTTTTTTAAACATGAGTGGGTGTGTATTGAGTTGGTTCAAGAGTGGGAGACAGGTGATCAGCGCGAAGATAATTCTTCGAAAAATTATGCGCTCACTACAATCATAAAGCAAGCAATGTGATCAGTTCGCGTCCATTTTGCCTCGTCGGGAGTCTCTTAGTTTCTTTCCAAAATTATTTTTGCACCTCATGTGCACTAACAGTACTCTTTGAGTGCAAGTTCTCGCTTTCGATTAGGGAACCTAAAACGGCTGCCCTCACTCGACTCAATCCTCAGCAAGGTAATCCTTTATAAGTGTCAAATTCGGCCAAGGAGACGAGCCAGCATGTCTTTCGTTACAAGGTGGAAATTTCAGCTAACAATAAGAATAGCGAGTTCACTGAGTCCTACACATTTTCACATCGACTATGTAGGATGCGCATGAAAGTGAGTATTGCGAAGTCAACATTGTAAAATAGAGACCTCATCATTCAGGAAGTGTCGGAAAAGTAGAGAATGAGATTTAGTTCACAGAGATCTGGTTGTTGCTCACATTTCGAATCTTTCCTGTGCTCCAAGCGGTAAGTTTGGAGGGGCTTTGCAAAAAGGGAAGTCATAGATAGCGGAACTATGGAAGTGGAGTGGTCTCGTTTCATTCTTTAAGGAATGTCACAATGAACAGCTCAGTTGCGTACATTTCATTCGTTGCAGTTCCACTACATTAACAGCGGCTAGCGGTTTGCGCAAGTAGCATGAGTAAATAGTACCATGTAATTGCATCCATTGTGTCTACCATACGTATTGCAACGCTGCACTCCATTACTCAACCTTACATTCAGAGGTAAGCATGTGAGGGGCTCCAACTCTTTTCTCAAGTTCATTTCTTCGATATATTAAGCATCGAACTTTGTCTTCGCTATCTTTTCCTCGGGGGCTTTCACCGAGTCCAGTTGTACTATCAAACGAGAATCTCGGGAGAATGCGGAACGATTCATTTCAAATTGACCTTTCGATGAAGGTCGGCAGCTCGCCAATTTCTGTCAATTGGGCATTAGTACCACGTTCAACTTTTGTGTCGTTCAATGTAACTTCATTCATTGATTTATAGTATCTTCTTCTAAGAGCCGATTCAAAAATATTGGAGATGCATGACAACTTTGCGTTCCCTTCTTCATTAACAGTTTTGAATTCAGGAAATGGAGTTTTAGTCTCTGAATATACTTTTGTATTTAGTTTAGTCTAGCACAATGCATTATTTATTATCATACAACATTAAACCATCCAGAATACTGTGCTAGGAGCGTTACGGTTCAACAGAATATTGGTTCTGAACACCATAGCAAAGTGTTAGATTGTAAACAAGGCACTTCGTCCTCGTCCATCTCAGAGCTCCGGCTTTCTAGTTGTAGAAGATTTTAGACAAGAGCTACTAGATCAAGGGGAAAATTGGTTGCTCGTTGGTTCTAATGTCACCCGTAGACGCTTAAAAAAATCAAAATAACTCGGGCGAAAGAAGTTCAACAAAGGGCGAAGGATTTCTTGTAATCTACCTTCATCTCAGAACACTTTGTTCAGGAAACTACCTTGACGTTTCATGTACTGCTTCACTCATTGATGATCAGAAACTAGATTGCCCAGAGTGTGATCCGAACGCATTCATTTTCCCCTGATCACGGTGATTTCGATTCTCGATGTGCTTTCACTGATTGAATCACCACTCTTACGTATCACCGGTTCCGCTGCTTCGCATTCGCCGTAGTCTGAGAGAGAACGCGCGACGACTACGGAGCGCGATACGGGTCAACTCCGCCCCTATGAGGGGGAAGACGAACTTGCGGGTTCGGACCACTTTCTCCAACGTGGATGATGCATGGCTTGACAACTACATCGCATCTTTTACTGCCAACTCGAGTGATTTCATGAACTTAGCGTCAAGTTCTATTAACTAACCCTAACTCCAGCACCTTTACCGGAAAAGTTTCTCTTTGTTGCCAAAAACCTTTTCAAATTCATCAAGTGTACTGTAGATAAATCGAGCGGGAGCCAGTGAAGAATGTCTGCACTTGGATTTTATAATGCTTGATCTTATTACATCTCTCGCTTTTTCCGTTATTTTGCTACCGTTGTCCACTGGACCCATGAACACCTTTTGCAGTTACATTCAATACAGCCGTTTTCACCAGCATTACTCCTCTATCAAAATGTTGGTTATCAGGTTAGTGCTTTTGCACATTTCCATATTTCCATGTTTTCACATTTGGGTATTTATTTTGAATAAATGTATCTTTTTCGCCCTACTGTCTTCTATCGGATAAACTAGGTGAAATGATAAAACGGATGTCCCTGTCAGTATTGGAACTAGAAAGGTGTTCCCGTCTAGAAACCGGAGTAACCCGCCCCGAACAGCGAAAGCGGACCGATTTTGGTCTCAAGGCTGTTCGCACCGCATTCTGCGAGGCTACCATACCACGGGATCACACTCACTCCCAAAAAACCGGAAAATTTCGAAAGATATATCTAGAAATATTCCCGATAACTTTCAGATTACTGTTCGTCTTGATATTGTTGACGTCGTCGACTGGGTTTCCGTTGTTCAACAGTTTTCTGTTATCGAAGGACGTTGGAACAGCAGCAACGACTGTCATTCATCATCGACATAAAGTTAGTGAATTGAACCGTTAGAATATCTATCCTAAAACCCGATCTGACTTACGAAGACTTACTAAATCTTTCCAGCACCACCATCGTCACAAGCATCGTCGCCGCAGCCTAGCTTCCAAAGAAGAGGCCAAGATTCGACGAAACAAACATCTATTGCTAACAAAACCATATTGGCCATGGCCTTGACTTTTCGCTTTAATCCTTTGAATCTCTTGGGGAGGCTCAACAAATTGAGAGAACGTTGCCACAAAACGGAAAGCGGATTCTGGTGGACTTTACAGGCGACCGGGCGGCAGCGCTGCTCACCATCTCAGAGCTTTTCGCTGCAACCATCACAGTGCAATCCAGCTCATTCTATCAATGCAAGATGAACAAATTTTCGGGGAATGGCAACATGGGAGGAAGAGTTGTGCAATTAGGGAAATTCCTGCTAGCCGTACCTGGACAGAAAGTTTCAGAAAGGATTTACGCAAGCTCAGACCGGCTCTCTAACGCAGCGAAGCGAACCTGAAGTGAATGGATAAAGGTGGAGCAACGATCGAATAATACTGATGCCGACTTTTCCTGGGAGACTGGTGGAGAGTAAATACACAATCTTCACCTCCCACTCCATCGAACTGTGCTATGTATTCAGCACCCGTGCATTCAGCAACTGACCATTGTTTTTTTTTCTCATAGTAGGGCATCCATTTCAAGTGAAAATGAGTACTGTACTCCCCAAATGCAAATTACTAGTGATTGTTTTCATTTTCCAGCACAATAATGAATATTATGAGATGATGTGTTAGAGATGCATTTCCATGAAACGTTATTCAGCTAGCAACAGAGGTGTCATGTTGTGATCACTTGTTTTTGGCGAAACTAGCTCGCAAAAACTCTCTTATTATTGAAATCTAAACCATTAGACGGTGTTTTGAAATCTGATCGTAAATCTATTTCCGTAGGATGACCGTTAACTGAGTTTTGTGCAAAATTATGCATACAAAAAGTTACAGCGGTGGGTTCAACTAAAGAGAATAAACTGAGACCTGAATTCCAGGAATTTTTGTGTATGTAGGCAGGTAGTTTGTATTAACAACGAACTAAGAGTACTTTATACAAAAGTTTCATTGCCAGAAATGACAGGAATTGAAAATTTTGGGCTCCTGAAAAGAGAGTGAAATCCTGATGATGTACTGTACGAATACTGACGCTAGGACCTGGAAGGAAATAACTGAGATATAAACAAAACGCATGGAGAGCGGAATATTTCTACCCAGTAGATTGTTGGAAATCAAAAGAGCCCCATCGAGATGATATCAAAATTTTCGAAATAAAAGGGTCTACAGCTCTGCTGTTCAGTAGGATTTGGTTTCGATCACTTTACTGAAGGGTTGAGAAAAGTTTCCAATGAATTAAGAAACCCTCCAACATCCTACGGTCATTTCCAATATGGACGTCAACAAAAAAGGCTAACAATAAGTCAAAAAGGTTCCACCATATACACTACGCCGCATGAAAAGCAGGAGGTCTTTGGTATTCATTGGTATCGATTGATATCACTGAAGCACTGTGAGGTCAGTAATGACCGATTTCATAATGGTGATGGTGAGTTCTTCTTCAAACTACCTTCCCCCTCACAACAACGAAGTGGCACCAGTCAAAACAAGAGCGAGCTCATGTTATAGCCACTTCACTATTCGTACTAAAAATTGACCCTAATCGGTGCCAGATGATTGAAATTAGTGGTAGGGTGGAAGAACACCCATGGAATGATCTATGCATCGGTGGTATCTCTAACCATAAGATCACAACTACCTAGTTTTTACGTTCTCCGCTTCACCTGGAGAAATTTTATTATGTGCCTAGATTTTTCATAAGCATAGCTTCGCGCTGGTTCTTTCCTCTCAGCCTTAGAACCTCCACTGGTCAAGTAAGTAGTACGACAGATTGAATCCGAGGAAAACCTATTCGTGTGAACGAGGGCAGGGTCTGCTGTTTCCGTGAGTTTTCGCCATTTCTTTCTATCTAAGGCATCTTCTGCCGTAACCATGCTTCCCTAGAGGTGCTTCATAATCATCTCCCTCATCTATTCTTTGGAGACGATGTTGCTTTCTCCCCAATTGTGAGTTTAGTTCTTCTGCTCTGCAAACCGAGATTTTAACAATACTTTATGGTCAGTTTGCTCGAGAGGCCTCAAGAAGGCTGATCACGCAGATCACGTCTCCCCAGAAGCCACTCAAGGCCGCTAAACCCTTACCAATCATCTCAGGCGATTTCGTACTAGTTGTTCTGTTCGAGGGGGTGATATTCACAATTCTCACCATAGCCTGAAGATCTGCCCTTTTCACAAATGATTGTATGGCCGCACTTGATCCGTCTGATATGAATAGAACACAAAATGAAACTTTTGTTTTCTCTTCCTCAGGACGATTCTGGGCGACCATCCTTCGCCTGTGACGAACCGGGAATCTCCTGAGATTTCGCAGCCGTTTGCCTGTGCTATGCGGAGCACCTGTTGTACCGATTCTGATTTCTCTTCGCCTCTTGAGGGAACTCTCTTAATCTCCTAGCTATGGCGGGCAGTATATTTTTTATCATGGCCATCTTAGTGGTAAATGGATGGGCGAAACGGAAAGGGACTAGTGTGTTTTTACTGGTAGACTTGCGACTTATCTCTAAATGCCACCCACAGTTATTCGAACTTGGGCATTGAGGAAAGTGAGTCAATCTTTTTTCGGTTTCACCGTAATAAGCTTTCAATGCTGTGGTTGATGATTGAGCAATCCGGAACACGTATCCATCTCTGTCTGCGTAGAGCACTTATTGAAGCAATCGTACTTGGAGTGCAAAATAGGTTTACTTCTGAAACAGGTTGCCCAATTCTCGAGATAATCGTCTCTGCGGGTACTGGAGCAAACCCTTACCCAATCGCTAGTCTTCTAGCCAGCCGAAAGTACTCGCCCGACCATTAGAATATGCTATACGAGAGGCATTATCCGAGGAGTGTCATGACCTGAGATATTGACGGGCCATATAAATTACGAAGTTTTAATGCTCGGCATGAATTTCACATATTGCTTGCATAGCATAGTCATTCGATAAATTAGTGTATAGGGAGGTGACGTAAAGGATCCTCCACCTTTTCTCCTTCCAACCTAGCATCATGAAGTTTCATTAGCAGTGCGTTGGTGTTGAGAAGGTGAGCAGAGAGATACTCGAAACTTAGAACTAAAACTTAGATACTTGAAAGCTGTATCATTTGTCGTCCTGTTGATCATAGGGCTTCCTTGGGCGGGCACCAGCAACGTCTCGATTCATCCCCGTCACAAGCTAGAGCGACCCAGCGATTTGACCTTGCTTCAGGTACATGGGGCCCAGCTTTCCTTTCGTTTAGGCCTTTCGTTAGAAGTGCGACCATCTTATTGGCGGCCGTCCTGGTGCTCGCTTCACGCCCCAAGGGGTCCACTCAGTAACCGCCCTAGTCCAACAGTGATCACTATATGGCATAACGTGTCCGGCCTGATCTTCGATTTGTTGGCGGAGCCTGGAGCTCCCTTTTGCACTTGCGTGTATAGTGAAATTCCTAGCACGCTCCCTTCTAAAGCGCGTTAAGTAGGGCTGACAGCACGCTCATCCTGCTTTCGTAGAATCCAAGTCTCCGAGGCGTACGTCAAAGCAGGAAGGACAGCAGTGTTGAAAAGGTGAGCACGAAGCTGGATATTCTTCGTCTTCTTCGCTTCTTCCTCGATGTATTTAAATGCTACCCACGCGGCGCGTTTCTTTCAGCACAGCTCCGCAGCCAGGTCGTTCATCATGTTGACTTTCCCATCTAAATACACATAGCTAGAGCATTCGGAAATACACGTTCCGTTTGACGTGAAGGGAGCATTGGGTACCAATCCGTTTTCATGAACATCGTCTTCGTTAAGTTCAGCCTCAAGCCAACCTCTCCACAGACCCTGTCAAACCCTGCCAGCATTCGCTCCGCTTGCTCGATGTTAGGTGTTATGAGCACGATACCGCCTGCAAAGCGGAAATGATGGGAGTAGCGGTTGTCGACCTTCACTCCCATACCTTACCACTCCATATGGGACACTTCTTTCACTTTGATAATGAATTTCTTGCAGAATAGTTGAGAAAGACCTTTGAGACCCTCAATACAGAGGCAGTAATCGAAGCCCTGGTTGCCCAGGGATTCGATTACTGCCTCTGTCTTGAGGGTCTCAAAGGCTTGAAAAGTGGGTGAACGTAAGACATAACGCATTTCGTACTGTCGCGGTACTTAAATGATTCTAGTTAAAGTGTGGATATGATCGATTGCACTGAACCCTCTCCGAAACCCTGCTCGCTCGTATGGCTGTCCTTGCAGAACTCTGCCAATCCTATTCAGGATGACGCGTGCGAAAAGCTTTCAGTTTACAAACAGTAGGCAGATTGGGCGATAGTTCCCAGTATCGTCGGGATCTACCTTCTTGTACTGCATCACAGTCTTGCTAGTTTTTCTGACGTGGGCACAAAGGTACCGCGTAAAGAGCCTAGCTAGAGTTCTTACGATAACGGGTGGAAGATTCTTTAGATGATCTGATTTGATTCTTGGCTCCGCACAACACTTCATCGCCGTAATGGCATGTCGAATTTCGGAAGGAAGGACCGAAGGAGCGACATATCCGTATCCCCTGAATTGGTGGATATGCAGGTAGATGTGGTTGTCGAAGAGATCCGGATCCGGTAGTACATGACCTTCTTTTTTGCTCTTCGAGATGCAACAATTGTTCCTTCAGCACGACGAAGGGAAAGCACCTTGGTCTTGTTATTGGCGAAGCTTCGCCATGCTTTGTGAATGCTCTTTCCGGCCTCGCGGCTTCGTCCATAACTACTGCTCTTCTCTCTTTCAGAACTTCCTTTACCGATTTTCTGCATAGCTTCGCAAGTTCGGACGTTTGTTGGTGATTGCATGTAGTTCGCGCGATTCCACGCTAGCGGTGCATCAACCCGAGAGTCGTCGAAGAGAGTCGTCTCTTGGCTACTTGTAGCCTCTCTGCTTTCCTAGCACTGTTGTGAAGATGTTTGACGAACCGGTTGTGTTCTTCATTGATGTTATCGATAGCGGAATCCTCCCATTCACTCGCAAGGGTAGCGAAGTATTCCAAGTTGATGGAGGTATTGAGGCTTCGGCACTACCGCACTATTACATCCCCAGTGGGGGGTGACATGGGTAAAAAACTTTTTTCGCTGAAAACTTGCACCAGGGGGATTATCGAGGCCGCTGATCAGAATATGGTATCCATTTCTGGCGCTGGCGCAAATTGGCGCCAGTTGGCGCGAAGGGTGTTTTCACCAAATTATGTATGTAGGGGTTACTCGAGGTCCTGATCATATCTATAACAAAGACTATCCCTTTTCACGAACGTTTTTTTGCAAAAGCGGGTCGGCCCATTGTCCGCTGACTTCTGCCCTCTTCACAGTTGGGAATCGAAGTCAACGAGAGCAATAGCACCAAAGTGCCACCTACTCACCCATCGAGCTATACAAGTCCTCACTAAGTATTTACAAACACTACAGTTATAACAGTTTATTCAGAATCGTCCTTGCCCTCTTGTTCTGACCACTTCTGCGACTTCAAACGTGGCCCTAGAGAGGGCCGTTGGGTTAGCTTATGTGATGAGAAGGATGTCGAACTCGTTCAGCAGGGGTATAGTGCTGCTACCTGGTCCCAGAATCTGTACAGGGGCTCACGTCGATCTCCAAATTGTTTTTTCCACAAGAACTCCCGCATGTAGTCTTCATATCGAGCGTTGCTAATGCCGTAGCGTCGCTTTCCCACTTCCTTGTATTTTTGCCAGAGTGAATCAGCATGCTGAGTATGTGCTCCAGTTCTGGAATCGACGAAGTTCAACTGATGGTTGACCTGGGGGTGTCTGTATCCGAGAGGCAGGGTGGATATTTGAGAATAAGCTCTCCAGCTGTTGCTGAATATGGTGGTCCCAGGTCCTATGTACTTCGTGATGAGTCGCAGGAGAGTGGGGGTATCCCTCCTCCGAACAAGGGTAAGGAAAGCTCAACCGCTTCCCCTCTCGATTCCTCCGAAAAGCCATTGGTGTCTACGCACCCAGCGACCACGGTTGTATTTGCGCCGAGTAACCAGGGTTTCGTCCATCCCACTTCACATCCGAATCCTCCGATGATTGGTGGATTCCTTCTAAAGTGTTCTGCCTACACGTCACGGAAACATTTCTCCCACTGAACAACGGTACGAGGATTCATGTGAAGCTCGTATGCTTTGTCCTTCATGTCCTTCACCTTTCCCATGTCGTGGAGCCAGAAGTAGGACAGAGCAAACATAGTCGACTCGCCGAGGTTGGACTTGTCGAAGAAGGAGCCTTTTCTAGCAAGAACGTAGACCTTTGTTTCGTTACACACCCAGCCAATGCGGTGCTCGTCGTTCCTCAACGTCATGGATCCTTGGCACGATGGGCACAACGGTGTAGACATTAGCCCCACAGATCGCAGCCAATCCTGGAACTGCAGGTGATCCATCTGGAGTTTTTCGAACACATCCTTCAATGAAAAATCCATCAAATGCCTGCCTGGGGTCATACCGTTTTCCCAATACCTGGCTGTCTGCAAGCATGGGAAAATACTTCTGACCTCATTTCGATTTCATTCCGTCCGCTCGAGAGGTCTGAAGCGCAGTCTCTAAGGTGTCCTCAGGTAATTGGGCTCAACCTATCATCAAAGCGAGCTACCCGTTTCACAAAGAATGTCATACTCGTAACCAGCTGCCTCGATAACTCCTGTACACAAGTTTACGGCGAATTTGGTGTAAACACCCTTGGCGCCAACTGGCGCCAAATGACGCCAATTTAGCGCCAGCGCCAAAAATGGATACCATATTCGTGATCGACATCAGTCAGGCAAGGCTTCCGATGAAAGATGATGTGACCTATTTCATCATGGAACTTGGTGTGGGTCGACTGATGAATCGGACAGCTTTTTAGACAGCCCTCTGTTAATCCCCGTCCATTCCGTGGGTCCCGATAAAATGCTCTGCAGCCTTCCTTTTAGGGCCAATCTTGGCGTTGAAATCGCCGACGATGACGTTTAAGAGAGTATGGGCTTCTCTGTAGAGCCTCCCCAGACCCATTTGAAACGCTACGAACTCCTCTCGTGGCTTGATTTTGGTGTATAGGCAATGGAGATTGTCAGAGTTTGGGTTGAGTCACATCTTTTAAAGGCAAACGCCCAAGTGGGGTTGTCAAGCTTTCGACAAATCGATGTTCATGGCCAAGTGCGTATTGACGGGGACACCTAAGCCGACGCCTATGCTATCGCATGCTTCGAGAGACAGTTCTTCTCCAGTCTCAAATACAGCGTGCAGGGAACAATGCCTTCTCGTCTCGGTCAGTCCGGTACTTGATCTCGCTAGCTAGCAACATCAGATCTTTTGCACACACCTAATGCAAGACTTCGTGCGTTGGAAGTACAAATCGCCATTTTAGTTTTATTTTGAGCAGCCCATTTCGGCCTTGAGACTTTAGCAGCCTCTTTCGAGCAGTCCCATTCAACGCTACTGTATTGGGGGCTCCCTCAGGTTCAGTAAAATGAGGCCCATTCATATTTCGGTTCTTGACATATGAGTTCTTCGTTCGAAGCGGTAGGACCACTTCGAAGGAGTAGAACCACAAATGACTTTTGACTCCCCATCCCCTTCCTATTCACCTCCGAAGTGGGCTCGGCAGCATCTTTCACAATACAACTCTTTGAAAGCACGCTCTATCAATAAAAAATTCATATGATCCTTCTTGCTCCTTATAGCTGGGATTAGAAATTCGATTGCACGCAGTTGACGGCTGTCCTTTGGCTCGCCACATGTCTCGAACATATTCCTTTGCTTTATAGAGTTCGAAACTGTTCCGTTCTGCAAGTAACGGTGGGGGAAGGGAATGATCTGTCCGGCTAGTAAGATGGTTTTGTTCCACGAACGGACATCCACGACGAGTCAGCCATAGTCAGCTGGAACACCTTGACGCTCTGACACCCAAGTGCGACTCTCTGCGAATCTCGGCATGTTTCTTTCTAACTGTTTTTCATTGTTCAGCTGTGCAAACCGAGGTTTTAGCGATACTTCACTTGGCTAAGTTTCGGCTCCTTGCCCTTCTTTAAAGCCCGAAAAGGCAAAAGTTGTTCGAGAAACTATTTATCCAGCACTATTCCAACCTACAGTAGAAGCTCCGAGGGCGTAAACTATTGCTACAAAGTCAGTAACTGATAGACAACGTGAACTGAGTAGTCGACCTGTGCGCCCCACCGATCACCTCAAACTGGAAAACTGCGGTTTAAAGAGGGTGAGCGTCGGGTCAATTTGCTTCAATAGCCTCGAAAGGGCTGATGGGCAAGAGCGCCGCTGAACCCTTCTTAATCACCTCCTTTCAATTACTGTATGAGACTCCTGATCATAAGATGACCCTGAGCCGGGGGATCGACTACGAAGATCTGGAGCCGCATAGTCTGCAGAAATTAGTACCCGTTCATAACTTATGGTCCCTAGCCAACTATGCCCCAGTGCGTGTTGTGAATCACAAGAGGATTCTTGGTCGCAGTGGCCACTCTAGATGAGAGAAGTATCGCTGTAGCTGCTTCCGAACGCTGGTCTCAATCTGTGTTTCGAATCTGCCAAAGGATTCTGGGAACAATTATGCGACCAGTGCCTCCCTGTATTGAACCACTGCACGAACAGATCACCGAGCCGAGCAAAGTTGTGTAACGATAGCGCAGCTAGTAGTATGGAGGACAGGTAGGCATCACATCAAGTTTAGACTCCTTGATGCGTGCGCTCGTTTTGTTTTTTATTGAAATGCGTCTTCAACGTTTGCAGAACGTTTTTAGGCTCAAGTTGGTCACCTACAGAGCTCCCTCATAACTTAGGCTTCCGGGGAATAGTATTCCAATAAAAAACGGTCGAATGACTCATCTGGCCAGAGCCCTCTTTGTGAGGGATACGGTCCACACATTCTAGGAATTGCCCGCACTTTCGAAGCCGTGTTATAAGTTACTGACATTGTTGAATAATACTGTAGGACATCAGTTTATAGATTTGTGTGCACGTACGACTACCTGCTCATTATAGAGCTAAGCGCCTTTCATGGGATAAACGTGGTGATGCGGTGGGACATGGTACCAAGGCTGTACTCAGAACCCTGAATACCCTTATGACTTGATTCGAATTTGTATCCTGTGGGCCTTCATAGTTGATTTTAAGCGACGTCCAGTGGAATGACTGTCGTGTAACGAGATTCCGCATTAATTTTATGATAACTTATCATTCAAGCTTATTCGCTAGTCTTCATGTGTAGACAGATCGGTCCATTTCTTTTGCTCTTGTTAGCCGCATAAGGCCAATAATAGACTAATTCGAAAGCTCATAGCCTCTCGCACTTTCCCTTAATTTTCGAAGATGGCACTCTGTCGTGATGATACTATACGTTTCTTTCATAAACGAGGAGATGCGGCTTCTTCTGACACTCAAACTATAGAAGGCTATGGGCTCTTCTACGAGCGTCATAAGATTGGAGCTTAGGACAAGATCACTAAATTCGAGGCTACGTTTCTTTTGGAACTTCTGTATCCCCACAAACGTAACGTAACTTAACGTTTCTCTTGCGAGGTTATGGGCCCATCGTCGCTGCTATCATCAGGCGACCGTCGAGGATCATTGTGATCTTTTTCACGGACTCGACTTCCTCGCAGGGGGTAACGAGCTCGTTTGCATAGCCATCGGAATGTATCATTGGAAAGCTCTTGAGTATCCCCCGTTCTCTCCCAGATGGCGCCCACGTTATTCTGCTAGAACGAAAGATCCCCATTAAATGCGATGACACCACCTACGGCCTGTATATTTCGCTGGTAACATGTTGAAGAGCATTTGGTCCGATGAATTACTTTGAACCTTTCTTTTTGAATTCTCTAAAGCCAATTTTGAGCGAATGTTTGTTCTTGCTCACCTTTACTCGGCTGGTGAGGAGCAGGAAAAGTTTCCTCGTAATATCTTCTCAATGTTCCTAAAATGTGAGTTAGCTCCGTAGATGGCCAATTGAGCCCAAAAAACGTTTGCAAGCGTTTAGGACGCATTTCATGGAAGGGCAAAAGGGGCGCATACATAGGAATCCAATATTGATATCATGCATACCATTCCATCACCTACCAGCCGCTCTACCGTTGCACAGCTATTGTTTTGCTCAGCTCCGTGATCTGTTCGGTACAGTAATTTGATACAGGGACGCATTGATCCCGTAACATTGTCCACAGATTGTCCACAGAATCGTTTAGCAGATTTGGAATACAGATATGAGATCAGCGTTTGGAACCTCCTACGGCGGTATACATGTCATTTGAGTGGCAACGGCGATCAAGTACCCTTCCCTTGTCAGCAGCCTATACATTTTTCTTGTCATAAGTACAAGAGAGGCGGAAGGAAGACTTACTGCTACTGACGATCGCGTGTGGCAACAGCGGATTTTCTTCGCTCGAGGGGTGGAACGTTGGTGAGTGGTTTTTCAAAAATATAGGTCTCGAATCAGTCGTCACTTTTTTAATGGGGTTGAGACGCTTGCAGGATGATGTGCAAATCACCTCGAGTTGTGTTTAGCCCTCCAAAGACTATGATTGCGTAATAAAGTCAGGGCGGTCGACCTAATAAATTGTTCCACTTCAAAACCTTGTGCGTCACAAGAACATTATAATCGCAGACAGTTATGCCGAATTTATAGCAAGCGAGAACTTGAGAACTTACGTGCTTGATTCTTTCGGTAATACGATCAGATTTCGATACAGCCATGACCTGCGCTTCAAATCCTTTCGGTAGCTCATTAGTTCCTCCAACGTTTGTAAAACCTCGTATTGTACAGGGTGCCCCAAACTTATAGGCGCCAATTCATTGCAATATATTTCGGGCTTCGAAGCTGTGGATGACAATGGAATTGTAAACTCACTTGGTTACAATGTGTGTGAAAACAAGTTACAATCATCTTCTGAAGTATGCCCCAATAGCAGTAGTATAGGCCCAGGGTCTGACTTTGAACAAATTTGGCAAAATCGACAGATCTTTTTCTAATCATGATCACAAGAAGGAGCCAAGTGACTTAAGAACTGGAGAGTACAATGGTCATACCTCCATGCTAAGGACATGGGGCAGCTTGCAACATTCTTAACCAAGCTTCCCTCCGTGTACTAAAGTACCGTTCTTCTGTAAGGACCAGGAAGCGAGGTCAAATTAATGCTTCGGTACGTCTCTCGGTGCGCCCTCTAAGCACACGTCTTTTAGTTTTCACGCCGGGACCGATTAAACCACTGGCCGTAACTTCCTCATTAAAGATCATTTTGCTAATCTTATGGCTTTTCCGTGAGAGATTGCATTATCAATGCTTCTATCTAAAACGGCATTTCTGCAGACGGTAGGTATGGCTTCGAAGCTACTGCTTGGCAGTTCGTCACCCGACAACTTTTTCGATCCTGCTCAGCCTTTACCTTTTCTTTGGTCACCCATGATCAAGGTCAGTACTGATATCAGAAAAAACTTTTCATGCTCTTTGGCCCCTTAT